ATGATTCTGATTGTCATGTGCAGTTAGGTTTTATATAATAAGAAACTTGCTTTCACACTTCCCGAGAAGAAAGCACACCTGTCGGATCATCATTCCATTCCTATCCCCAATTCTTAGCCCAGTGACTGTGGCATAATTAATGCTCAGATATTTATAGAATATTTTTGCACACTCTGGACCTGGCCATATTTGTTATGAAATCTAAATTAAAAAAAAAACAAAACAGAACACATTTAAGAATCTCATTTTATATATTAAAAAACAAAGTCAGAGTTAAAGTGAAATACCTGAAATAACATAGCTTATTAGAACTGGACCTCAAGACTCCAGCATTCTTTCCACTGAAGCACTTTATTGATTTTATAATGTGGTATTGATTTTAGAGTTATTTACTTATAGAATACGTATGACCATTCATGTTACTTTAAGGAACTATGCAGCATAGATTCCTTAATCATATTATATTGCTTTTATTTAGGCATAAGTTTAGCCCTTATTATCAAGAGATCAGGAGATGGATGTGGAGGAAGATTGATAGAGCAGAGCAGGTTAATACCACTAGGCAACTACCCATTTTCTAGGCAACTGCTGAGGCTGACTTAACCATGTAGAGACCTGTATTTCATGTATGTGCATATTTACAGTTCTTAGCATAGAGCATGCATAGTGAAGTGTAGATGCTCCTTGTAATTAATCTTTAGAGTAGTTTATATTCTGAACCTCCATTCTTTATTTTTTAGGCACCATTCAGGAAGATTACCTGAGAGAGCTGCTGACAACAATGGGAGATCGGTTTACAGATGAGGAAGTGGATGAGCTGTACAGAGAAGCGCCCATTGATAAAAAGGGAAACTTCAATTACATCGAGTTCACACGCATCCTTAAACATGGAGCAAAAGATAAAGATGACTGAAAAGAACTCCAAGTTGTAGCCAAATATTCTTTGCCGCCACATTGGGTATTTCTGAGACTTTTTCTTAGAGTCTATAACATGCCCTAGCTTTGCAACTTTTGCCTTTCTTGTGGTATTTATTCTCAGCCATTTGGGGCACATGCATCTCTATAATCAGACTGGAAATAGGACTTTTTGTTATTTTCAGAATAGAAAATAGGTCATTGAACTTACCGGCCTCCATCTTCCCCCATAACTGAAAACTACACAGAGTCAATATATTTTTTCAGAGAAAGTAATTAGCTCAATTTTTTTCTGAAACAATTAAATTTTATGATCAAAACTTACTTGTTTAAGACTTATTTATTTATCAAAATAGACTTCTATTGGTTTTAGTTGCATCTTCCAATGAAAGAAAATGGTGTGGTTGTTAGACCTTTTTCTTACTTCTCCCAGTTTTTCTAACAGTCCTATCTCCTCTGCTATTCATTCCCTCCCAAAGAAATACAAGTTTAACTTCCTTAACTGTGTTTCCTGCACTTTGTCTTCCAATTTTAAAAATAATTTGCGCTGAAACCGGTTTAGCTTAGTGGTAGAGCGTCTGTCTGTGGACTGAAAGGTCCCAGGTTCGATTCGGTCAAGGGCATGTACATTGGTTGTGGGCACATCCCCGGTGTGGGGTGTGCAAGAGGCAGCTGGTCGATGTTTCTCTCTCATTGACGTTTCTAGCTCTCTATCTCTCTCCCTTCTTCTCTGTAAAAAATCAATAAAATATATTAAAAATAATAATAAAAACTTGCTATAGAATTTGTATATGATAGTTTTAGTAGTTTTAAATCCTTAAGTTTAACATACCTACCAACATTCTTATCTGTCCTAAGCTTTTCGTGTCATTTAAAATTAGACCAGGCCAATGAGTTTAATTTTAATTTGTCCTAATTTTTAAAACTATTTTAGACTCAAAGGGTCTATGAAATGCTTCTAACAAGTTACATTTTTTTTTTTGTATTTCAAAACGTTGGAAATACAGTACACCATTTTTTTTATTATATAAAACTTTTCTTTAACACAATCCATATTGAAATACCATGTTTGTTTATGCAGAGATTCACCATGAGTCCATGTGTGAATTTTGGACATTCCTGCCCTGCCCACAAACAAAACAGCTGAAGCTAAGTGCTTGGGAAAGTGAGATCATTATTTCAATACTCAAAATAACTTCTGCTATTTCAGAAATGCAGGACTGTTTCAGAGTTAATAAGGAAATGGTTGACACTTTGATTTGCTTTGTACTTCAAAAAGCTAAAGATTGATGAATTTAAAAGTTAAAGCATTGTGGGAGGAGTTGGTTGAAAATTTTACAATTAGCCTATAAAGATGAGTAATTGACAATTACTCTAATTTTACATTTTATTGACTATTAACCAAACTATCTTTAGACAAAATCATTACCTCACTCAATAAACAATTAATTGAATAACTTCAGGGTGGCAGACCTTTGCACTCAACAGGATAGGTGAGCCAGCTTTATAGAACAGGAGTAGAAGGACCAGTACCACAACTGCTCTTGCTCCCTTTTTTTTTAAAGATATTTTATTGATTTTTTTTTTTTACAGAGAGTAAAGGCAAGGGATAGAGAGTTAGAAACATTGATGAGAGAGAGAAACATCATCCCATGTGCCAGCAACCAAGGTACATGCCCTTGACCGGAATTGAACCTGGGACCTCTCAGTCCGAAGGCCGACGCTCTATCCACTGAGCCAAACCGGTTTCGGCCTCTTGCCCCTTTAAGGTTAGAATCTTAACCACCTGCCTTAAGTATTTTTTCCAGGCTATAGCCATGAAGTTAAAATCTTACTTTGCTGAATCGAACTTCCACTTCAACTGAAAATAAGATCACTTCTGCTTTGTTAACAGATTTCTAGTTAAGAACAAATAACGTTTTCCACTTAAGGAAGAAAAGTGGTCTCATTTACTAAAATTATTTTTTGCAGTGTCCCCATTTCCATTTCAGCTAACTGCTCAAAGAACTGGCTGCCATTAGGAGCAGTGCATGGGCTCCCTAGTGAAATAAGTCTCCTAATTTAGTAATAGCATTCTCTAGGTAGTAAGTAGGCTTTGCTTAAGGGAAGTTGACTGCTTAATAAAGAGCTAAAGCATCTACTCCAACAGTGGATTTGACTGAAAACCAGTCTCCATGATGAAAATCATACTTGAAACAAACCATTTCAAACGTTCTTTGAAACCAACCTAACAGGGGTAGCCTTGTTAGGATTATATTGTCATTTGGACTCCAGATCCCAAATTTTCTTGATCCAGAAGCCTATAACTGGAGAGCAGGAATTGGTGAGTGCTACTGGGCAAAAGGGAAGATAGCCAGACTCTGAGACAGAAGCAAATTCTGAAAAGGAAAGGCAATGATTTTCTACAGAGTAGGAGAGAAAGGACAGCAAGAGGTCTCACACCTAGACTTAGAGGGATGCCAGCAAGTTGTAAGAAGAATCAGAAAACAGTAAAAGGGCTGAAGAGAGGGAGATAGAGCCATAAAACATGAAAACCATAAATTTAAATTTTAGTTTCTCAGTTATATTAGACATATTTAAGGAGGATATGCCATAAATAACCATTTCCCAAGTGCTAGATATTTAGATACTCAGCTTTTCATTAATATTATTTTTCTTTTGAATCTTGAGAGGAAAAATATACCTTAGAGTTATTTTTTTAGAACTGTTACCTAGTAGAACTTACTATGGTAATGGCCAAAGTACGGTCAGGGTGTCTCAGCTATTAAGGTGGCCAGGGTGAGGGTTATGCAATGGTAACAGACCATACTTAGAATCTGAGTACTAAGACAAAAGACCTAAGAAGCCAAAACCTTAGGTTTGGGGGGGAAATTATTTAAACTATTGGACCAAGAACAGAATGCAGCAACAGAAAATCGAATATTTTAGAACCCAGGTATGACTTCTGTGCAGTTGCTTTTCAAATTTTATTGAGAAAATGCATTATTAGGAACTGGACCTTGGTCTGGGACAAGGACCACAGCATCAGCATCCCCTGGAAATACAAATTATCACTTCACCCTCCACCCACTGAATCTGAGTATCTGGGGCTGGGGCTCAAGAATCTTACCAAGCCCTCCAGGTTTTCCTTATGCATGCTACTATTTAAGAACTAACTGTATAGAGTGCTGAACACAGTTTCTAACATCTAGGAACTGATCAAACATTTCTAGAATATAAATGAATTATTCATCTCCCCAGCACGCATTCAAGCAATCACAAGTGCTCAATAAAGGTTTGCTATTAAGTTGCCTATCCTCCATTCAGAAATAGTGCTATCTATATTATTCCAGGGTGAGGTCACAGCCATAAACAGTAACCAAAACAAAGTTTGAATAATGTAGCTTCGCCGTTTCCTTTTTGGCCAAGAGCGATTGTATGCGTGTGTGTTCCTGACATCTCCTGAATTTCAGACCCAAAAGAAAGCAAGTAATTTGAATAAAACTTTCTTGTGGTTGGAAAGGGAATGAAACCTGCTGTCCCTGGCCTGGTATCGTAAACCTTATAATTTGATAGTAAAAAGATGATTCGGATTGGAGTGCAGTGTTAAAAGGTTTGCCAGCAGACAGGAGCCCGTGCCCTTTTCCCTTTTCCAGTATTTCGTGGGACATACCCAAAAAATTACTTTTACCTGAAGTTCAAATGTAACTAGTCCCGCTGTACTTTTTATGGGTTAACTCTGCAGCCCCGGGTGGGCGGTTCCCGACGCTCGGGACCCCGAAACCCTGAAACCCAGAGGGGCTGCGCCCCGCCCCGCCCCGCCGCGCCGCGCCCCGCCCCGCCCCGCCCGGGTCAAATTCCAGGCCCCGGCGCCGGGAATGCGGAAGGGCGCGGGGACCGCGGCGGCGGAGGGGGGCGACGCGGGCGGCGGGGCTGCACTCTGCCCGTCCCGCCCGCACCAGCCGGGCTGAGAAAGCCGGCGAAGACCCCGGCCGTGCTCGCCGGCCGGCCCCGCTCCCGGTGGCCGCGGCGGGCTCCGCTCCAGCCCGACGGAGCACCGCGCCGCACGCCCACCCCCCCCTTCCCGAGTTGGTTCCCGCCGCGCCTTCCGGTGCGCCTTCCGGTCCGCCTCCCGAGGCAGGAAGTGCCGGGCGCCGCCTCTGCCGCGCCACAGCTCCGCGATCGTCGTAGTCGCCGGTCGTCTGGTGCAGGGCAGCCCGCGTTCTGGTGTCTGGCGGCGGCGGTGAGTGGCTCCTGTCCCCGCGCCGACACCCCTTGGGCCCCAGGGGCCCCCTCTGCCTCCCGGCACACGCCGGCGGTCAGACTGCTACTGGGGGTGGGGGGCGGAGGGCGGGGGACTGTCAGGGTGGGCGCGGAGCCCTGGCCACCGCCCGGCCAGGCCTGAACGGAAGCTCCCGGCGGAGGGAGCCGCCTGGGAAAAGGCCCGGCTGGAAGAGGTGGCCGGCCCCGGCCCCGCGTCACCCAGGGTGACATCACACCTGGTGCCTGCCCTGCCCCTGCCCCTGCCCCCGCCCCCGCGGGCCCAGGCGGTCCATTCCATTCGGGGGCTGAGCCCCGGTTCTGTACCGCACCCAGGGCTTGAGCCTTTGGGGGATGCTGGAGTCTAGGGACGCACGGTTCCTGCCTTAGATGAAACGTCCAAGGAAACTATTAGAGAAACATTTTAACCTATACCGGGTACTGGTTAGTATAGGCTACACAATGTCATGATGTCCCTAGGAGTTGTCTCACTGCAGCTTGCATCTTATAAAGATTTAGTGCATTCGTGTTGATTGGAGAAAAGGATACATAAAAATCAGGAAGGTTTTCCATTGAATTGTGGCCTCGTTGGAAGCCTTGGAGTCAGCCCTAGAAGGGAGAATTTCGTATTTTCTGGTTGGATCTGTGGTAGGAGGTCACAAGCCCAAAAGCAGCCAATGTGGGAATTTGTGTCGAGTGGAAAGGAGATGGTGGGAAGACGACCTTGAATGGAACAGAACTATAAGGAGTAATCGCTGGAAATAAGGGGGGTGGATGGGTAGGTAAATGTGGCCTTTTTTTTTTTTAGGATGCCTTGTAAACTGGAGGAAAAAGAGAAGATTACATAAGAGGCATTAGGGAGTCGTTTTGGATTCTTCACCAAGGAAGTAATATGAAGAAAGGGTATTTAGAGATTAGTTTGGCAGCCTTTGTTTAAGATGAAATTGCATTGGTCCGTTGGTAAGAAAAGCATTTTAGAATTCAAAAGAACTTTATAGATTATCTTTCATTTTATGATTGAGGAAACAAACCAAGAGAAGTGAGATGACTTGCCTAAGATCATTTGAGGGGATGCCCCCCGTTTTCTCTGTAAGCATTAGGTGGACCCTCCTGGACTTCATAACAAAATATACAAGTTTGTGTTTGTTTAGGCTCTGTTGAATGAAACAACTACAATGGCTGAGTCAACCTTCATTTATGTTTCAGTAGGACCAAATTTAGACAAGATGAGCGGCAACTTTGAAGGAAGGACAGTCCTCAGGTCCGGGCTGTAGGGGTTAGCAAAGATAAGAGGACTTGGACCCCCTAAATGAGGCTGGTTATCCCTCTCCCAAGATTCAGACACCAGGTATCTAAGAATGGTTTTCATTGCCGCCAACTTTTGAGATCTTCCTCATTTCACACTTGAGCAGTGTGGTGGCATTGCTTATTACTCCCATCTGGCTATGAATATTTTCATGGTCGAGAATTTCAGTTGCCAATATGCAGGATATTATATTAATTGATTAGTGATACAGGTTCTGGGGGGCTAGACTTCCTGAGGAGAGATCCTGGATCTAAGCTCTACCTTTTTCTAGCTGCATGGCCATAGGCAAATTGATTATTCTTCTTGCCCTGTTTTTCTCATCTAAGAAAGGGGGATAATAGTTTCATCTGTATTATAAGTTATTGTGAGGATTAAATATGTTAACCGTAACATGCTTAGACCAATGCCTCGCACATATTTAGCACTTGGTTATTGGCTATTAGTACTGTTTCTTCCAGGTATAAAATAACGGTAGCTGGTAATTTTGGTAAGGATCTCTGCAGGAAGGATTCAGTGAAGTTTATGCTAATCCATGGGTAGACCACAGAGAAAAGCCTTGTTTTGGGAATCAGATCCAGGTCCTACCTTATAATATGCATCTATATATGTAACTATTTGTGATAGGAAGGAAGCATGTTTATGTATTTACGTGACTAGTATTTATTGTACACCTGCCGTGTGTAACTCACTCTAGTAGACCTGCAATCCAAGGTAGAAAGGCTAAATGTCATAAAAATGTATATGTAAATGGCATGGCAATGGAATACTACTAGGCAGTTAAAAAAAAAAAAAAAAAAAAAAAAGAATGAACCCCTGTTAGGCGAATCTCAGAAACATTACATTGAGTGAAAGAAGTCAGGCACGTAGAATGTACACTGTATAATTCCATTTATAGAAGTCAAAGACAAAATGAATCTATGGTGATAGAAATCTGAGCAATGGTTGCCTATGAGAGAGGATGGTTGACTTCGAGGGAACTGACTGGCATGATGTTAACATTTGTTACTTGATTGGGGTGGTGGTTACATGAGTATACACATTTACCAAAACTTATTTTAAGATCTGTGCATTTCATCAGATATAAATTTTATTGTAATAAAACAAAGTTATATAGGAGTTCAGAGCATGGAAAGTTTACTGCCAACTGGGACAATCATAAAATCTATAATGAAGAAATATTATTATGAAATGATATTAATATTATTATTGTGGCTAGGTTAGGGTATCGTTCCGTACACCAAGAGGTTGCGGGTTTGATTCCTGGTCAGGGCACATAACCTATGCAGGTTCCATCTCCAATCAGGGTCGGTACAGGAGGCAACACATACATGTTTCTCCCTCTCCCTTCTACTCTCTCTAAAAAAATTTTAAAAACAAGCAAAAAAAAGTATCCTCCAGTAAGGATAAAAATAAAAATAAATGACAGCATGTGCTAAACATTAAAATTTAACCATAAACTACAAGGAAAATTTAACTGGTGCTAAGAAAAAAGATGTAAACATTGAGTAAAGCTCTTGGGGGGGGGAGATATAATTTATTGAATTGATTACATATTTGCCTAAATATGCATCTTAAAAACAATCACGTTATTAAATATATGAGGTTAATTTTGTGGGGTTTTTTAACATAAGTACTAAATTTTCTTTATAATTGCTGTTTTCAAACTGTTGCTCATGAATCCAGTGAGCACAAACATTTGTCCGAACTATGGTAATGACCTTGGGAATCTGTAAGAAATTTATAAAAATAGACCTTGGTGAAGATGACAGTTGAATCGAAGTGATCTTAGGTTTCAGCCCAAGAACTGCTGCTCTCTGCTTTTTTTGTGTTCATCCATTCTCAGTCTCACCCTGTGCCTTTGCTCAGAAGTTGGCTTTGCCAATGGAGATCTCTTAAGCATCCTGCTTCAGGCATCTCTTCTGCCATTTTGCTGCAGCGTGGCCAAAACTTGATCTTTATATCATCCCTTTGCTCACAAAACCAGTTCCTCTTCCCTCCTTAATAACCTCATTTTTGAGTAGTAACTTTGTGCTACCAGTTTTTCAACCAGTACTTTAAAAGCAAAGTCATTCAAGGACTGCCCTAAAGGAAATTCCAATTAGGAGGCAGGAACTAGCAAGCAAATCAGCGTAGGAATCAGTAAGAAGAACAGGATAGTGGAGATGGGAATGTTGGAGAAGGGGTGACTCTGTTGCAGTTAAAAGAGGAACCCACAGAAGTTGGAGAGAAATTGAACAGAAGGAATTGACATTTTCTAATCAGAAATAGAAAATTCCCTACAGTGCAAACTTGATTATGGCCCCTTTGACTTTTCAAAATTCTGTGGTTATAACTCTGACATAAAGGTATGACCTATTTTAACATTAAAGAGACTAAGGAAACACCGTGGCTTTATTAGTTTTCTATTGCTATATAACAAATTACTCCAAAACTTAGCCCTTAAAAAACAACAACAGTAAACAGTTTCTGAAGGTCAGGAATTTCAGGGCAGCTTAACTAGGTGGTTCTGGCTCAAGGCCTCATGAAGATGCCAGGTGGGTTTGCAATCTTGAAGAAAGATCAGCCTCGAAGATGGCTGATTCACATGACTGGCAAGGTGATCCTGACTATTGACAGGAGGCCTCAGTTCTCTGCCACATGGACCTTTCCTTAGGGTGCATACTACCCTAATAACCTGGTCCTGGTTTCTCCCAGATTGTGATCCAAAGGGGAGAGCAAGGCAAAAGCTGCAGTGTCTGTTACGACAAAGTCACACTATTATTTTTGCAATATCCCATTGGTTATGAAGGGTAGTAGAATATGTCATTCCAAAATATGCCACTTGGACATAAATACTATTTTGAGCTAAAGGCAATTTATTGTAGAGGCCAAACAAGACAAAAGCAGGACATAAATTTATAAAGGTTTCCTTCCCTCTCTACCAGGAAGGACAAAGGTCACTCTCTGTAGCCAACTTTAGACTCTATCAGTGAAGAAGGCCCTGATTTCAGTCTACATGACAAATATTACCCTTGTTTGCTTTGCTTTTCCTGGTAACTTTCCATAACTAGCTTCTCCCCATAACATATCTTTCTTCTTTTTGTCTTCAGTTGAAGATGATATTTAAGCCTGAATTCTAAGCCACCTCTGATAATTGTTTTTTCTCTGGATATATCCATGTATACATGTTAATAAACTTCTCTTTGTTTTTCTCTTGTTAATCTATTATTACAGTGGTGTCAGGAAGAACTCAGAATGTAGAGGGTTATTTCACCTTCCTTACTGTTTCACAGGTCAACAGTCTTTTTTTTTTTTTTTTTAATATATTTTATTGATTTTACACAGAGAGGAATTGAGAGGGATAGAGAGTTAGAAATGTCGATGAGAGAAATACATCGACCAGTTGCCTCTTGCACACCCCCCACTGGGGATGTGCCCGCAACCAAGGTACATTCCCTTGACCGGAATTGATCCCAGGACCTTTCAGTCCGCAGGCCGAAGCTCTATCCACTGAGCCAAACTGGTTTCGGCTCAACAATCTTTTTTATTGGAGGGACTACACAAGGACATGAGGAAATGTTGAGGGCCATTTTGGATTCTGGCTACCACCAGGGAACAGATTCAACTCAGGATACAGGCGGTAACATAAACAAATACTGACCATCAGGAAGATAAGAGGGAATAGTAGGAATTGCTCACTGAACACTCATTATCTATAGGAATTTGGGAATGCTGGTCAAGTGATTCCTATCATATAGTTTTCCAAGATTCCTGAAATTTGTTTTTATTAAAGTAAAATATTCAGGTTTTTAAAACGAGTTCAGTAATTTAAAAAGGCACTTAAAAGACCATACCTGGGGATACTAAATGAACTTCCTACAGACTGCATATATTTGGTAACTGCCAGTTTGACTTCTGATTTACCTACCTTTTATTTTATAGATGAAAAAAATGAGAACCAGGAAAGCTAAAATAACTGAAAGCCATACAACTTGAAAATGACAGAACTGGAATTAGAATCCTGTTCTCCAGCATCACCATTAAACCATGATACCTTTATTAGTTCAGCCAATACCTTCCATGTAATTAATGTAGTGATTCTCAGCCTTCAAAGTACTTTGGAGTTACCTGGTACATTTTTAAAAATACTGATTCCTGGGCCCTGCCCGTGGACATTCATTTTCAGTTAAACTAGAGTAGGACCTGGGCATCAGTTTTTTTAAACCTCCAGGGTGATTTTAATGTACAGTCAAGATTGAAAGCAGAAGGTTAACTACTGTGAGGGCCATATTTACTTGCCATATGGTGACAGCAATTAGCTAATTTAAGATACTTAAAAAAATGTCAAGGAATTCATACATAGCTGATAGAATATACCTCATCACCATATTCACAAGCTTCCAATAAAGCTATGTAGGCTGAATGATGTTCACAAGCAGTTTCTGCTTATTAATGATTATGGTGCCCATGTTTTGATTTGCACATTAGTATTGCAAGTGATTTTGCAAGTATTTATTTGAATATGTTGATGCCACAGCCACCTATAATACCAGGGTTTTTGTGTGTTTTTTTTATTCCTGCCCTTTTTATAACCTCTGTGAACGCTACTTAGGACCTTAAATTCACTCTATATTGGGAATTTATAAAAAATAATTAAAAATTTGAAGAGGAAGTAAAAAGTCCTTCCTGCTATTGAGGGTTATTCATTACATCATGTGCTACATTATATTGTATATGGATATTATTTTCTGTAACTGTAGTTTAAGGGTAAGGTTTGGTTGTTTTTCTTTACAGTTATAGGTTAAAAATTAATTTGACGTCCTAGGTATACTCAAAATATTAGAAGAGCATTTAATACAGAGAAAACATATAGATAGAAATAACCTTGAGTAAAGGGGGTTTGACTCCTAGCTTGCCACTAGGTGATCTCTGGCAAATTATTTAATATCTTTGATCTTCAGTTTTTTTCATTTGTACAGCAGGCATATACCAGTTAAATTTAATGCATATAATGTGCTTAGCACATGAGTCACTCAATAAATGGTAGTAGCTATTAGTTGAGTAGGCCTTTAATTCTCTCTCTGTTCTTAAAACATTTTGAGCTAGAAAAATAGCAAGAGCAAAAGTGCAGTACACAAACTGCGTGGTGCCTTGGGCCCAAACAAGCAGTGTGGGATTGCTGAAGGAAAAGCACAAAGCAGAGAAGGTCTAGAGATGAGGCTGGAAAGGTCATTCTAGAGTAGACAGAGGAGGACCTGGTACGCCATGCTTAAGAATTTATACTTTGTCCGAGACCGGTTTGGCTCAGTAGATAGAGCCTCAGCCTGGGGACTGAAAGGTCCCGGGTTCGATTCCGGTCAAGGGCATGTACCTTGGTTGCGGGCACATCCCCAATAAGGGTGGTGCAAGAGGCAGCTGATCAATGATTCTCTCTCTCATTGATGTTTCTAGCTCTCTATCCCTCTCTCTTCCTCTCTGTAAAAAATCAACAAAATATATATTTTTTAAAGAATTTATACTTTGTCCTATGAGGCAGTAGAAAGCCAAAGAAGATTTTTTAAGGGGGAATGGTAATGTCATAGTTATGTTTTAGACACTTCTGGCTGGAACATGAAGGGTAGTTTAGAGGGGACTAAGAAGCAAGGATATTGTTTAGTTGGCTATAGAAGTGCACAGAGATGATGAGGGCCCAGCTGGAATGAGGAAGATGAACAAATCTGAGAAATATTTAAGAGGTAAGGCTGATTCATCAGGGATAGACATGAGTCACGGTGACTCCTAGGTTTCTGGTTTGGTCAGTGGGTAAGTGATGGTGCCATTAATTGAGAGAAAACAAAAAGATGAGAAAGTTTAGGAAGGGGAAGACAATTCAGTCTTCAACACATTGGTTATGAGTGTCTGGGATATTCAAATGGATACTTTTCACAAGCAGTTGGATATTTGAGTATGTAACTCAAGGACAGGTCAAACCTGGAGGTAACAGACTTAGGAAACATAGGTGTGGTCAGAACTGTGAGAGTCAATGAGATCATCCAAGCAGGGCCAAGTCCTGACTGCTAGAATACATGAATATTTAATGTAATTGAGTGGAAGAGATAAAGGCATAACAAGAAAATGGAGGAGGACCAGCCATAGAACTGAGAGAGATTATATGGGTGACACCAAGTCAAATACAGCATTTTACATCAATCAGTCTTTCCAATATAATGTTTAGGAGCCTTCCTCATTAGAGGTAAGGTCTTCAAGGTTGGGAACCTTGCAGTCTCTTTCCATTGGGACAGTTCATTTCTACTGTGACTTTCACTAAGACCAAGAATTTTTGAGTCTCTAAAGAGGAATAAAATGGTATCAGATACAGCAGAGTGGTCCAAGGAGATTTAGACTGGATTTGGTAATTTGAAAGTAGTTGCAGTAGAGAAAAGAAAGCCAGATTGTGGTGGGTGGAAAGTTAGTGGGAAGTGCGAAAGTGGAGAAAGCCTACTTCTCTCAGTAGGTAAGGAGACCAAGGATAGTAGTTTCTTTGTGGGCCAGAATTCTCTGCAGATTGATTGTTTTGCTACAACTTTGTCTCACATTTTTCATTTTATGTGTCTACATGTATAGTTTTTATAGGTACTATATACATGTATAAATGTACTGTTTTTAAATGAAGTACAGAGAAAAAAATAAACTTTAAAAAAAAGAAATGATGGTATCACTACATTGAGCCTGTATCTGCTCTGTTCAAAACTGCATCAAGCCAAACTTCAAAACACCCATGTGGGGTATTTTAGAGATTGAAGAAAGAGAAAGAAAAATTCCCTTGCTCAGCCACTGCCCCAACTAGTCATCTGCTTTCACGCCCAGTGGCTGCAGTTAAAGAACAGTCCCCAAGACCACCCTTATTTCTGACACCAATGGCAAGTGTGGGTTTCCAGGATAACTCAGGTTCAATATTTTGCTAGGATTCACAGAACTCACTGAAAGCTGTTATACCCCTGGTTTGGTACAGTAAAAGGGTTCAGATTAAAATTATCCAAGGGAAGAGACACATGGTACAGAGTCCAGGAGTCTTCTAAATGCAGAGCTTGCAATTGTTGTCTCTCATGGACAGTATTGACTTCTGACAGCAAGGTGAGACAGTATGCATGGAGTATTGCCAACCAAGGACACGCACTTGATCCTTGATATCCATAGATTTTATTGGAGCTCTGGCACTTAGATACAGTTGACTGCTGCACAACTTACCTCAGCCTCCAACCCCTTGAGAGGTCAACTGATAACACATGACCCTACGCCCCATGGTAAATCACATTGTTAAAAAATCTAGTGTGACCCAAGATCCCAGATACCAGGTGTGACATTTCAAGGCCTTGAGTTTACTTTCCAGGAGCCAAGGACAAAGGCCAGACTTTCCTTTTTGCAAAATTAAGTTCCTTACTCCACAGGAGCCACTGATTTTGTTTGTTTGTTTGTTTGTTTTTTAACCTAGGTAGTATCGATTTCATAGGGAATTTGTGAAGGTTGAATATACACTGGATAAAAAATTTACTCTGGTGTCCTTGGATTTTCTGAAGTTATATGTATTGTAGTAATAATAGTGGAGCTAAGATTCAGACTTGGGATGTTGTAATTAAAATTACAAATAAAAAAATGGATGAAAAGTGTTCATTCTTTTTGGCATTTAAATTATTGGTGGCTTTCAATAGAGTATTGGAGGCTGCTACCAACACCATGTTACAGAGAATTGAGTTATTGGGAAGATGAGAAAATGGAGGCAGTTGAGTATTAATCTGAAAGCTTTGTCAAGGGAAATGGGAAATAAAAAAGTAACAAGAAGGGATACAAGATTAAAGGACAGGTTTTGATGATTTTTTTAAACGATAGCCTTTTTAACTTGCACCATATAGTGACTATAACAGTTTCTTTGTGTATGTTATCTTGTTTAATTCTTACGTGCACTGGAATAAATATCGTGTTTTGCTGTAAAACAGAGTATTGATTGAGCTTCGATGCTTTTCAAACCATGTTTTGAAAATACTGAGGCTCAGAGAGGTTATGCAACATTGGTAATAAAGTGGAAATAAGTAAAATGGAGGATTGTTGTGAGGATTAAATGAGGCAGTCCTTGTAAAAATAAGATACCAACTTTAGAGTCTTCTCTTTAGCGGAGCCCCCTGTCTGCATAACTGTTTGGCTCATAGTAAGCACTCAGTAAATGCTAGGTTGTTACATATTTTAAAATTAATTCCCACTTAATAAATATGGGTTTAATGAAATTTTAGGAGAAGCTACATCAATAATATCTATTGTTTCTTAATTTCTTTGAAACTGCTTTTTTTTTTTTTCTAGCCATTTAATTGTCACATTGGAAATAGAGTTTGTATATATATTTATTCCTGCTCTAATGAAGTAATATTTCTACATTAAGGTATTTTTACTCTTTAACTTTAGGTATTATAAGTTCTGTTTTTGCTTTATCTTTTATGCATTCTTTTTTGCTTTTGCTTTTTAACTCTAGAATTAAGCAGCCACCATGTCGAGCAAAAAGGCAAAGACCAAGACCACCAAGAAGCGCCCCCAGCGCGCAACATCCAATGTGTTCGCCATGTTTGATCAGTCACAGATTCAGGAGTTTAAAGAGGCCTTCAACATGATTGATCAGAACAGAGATGGTTTCATTGACAAGGAAGATTTGCACGATATGCTCGCTTCTCTAGGTAGACTTTTATATTCTTAATATGCCTGATTTCAAAAAATAATAATTCAGCATTCTGTGAATCATTTTCTGTGTGATGTCCAAATATTCCTGCCCTGTCTCCAGAGCCTACTGAGAAATGCCTGGATGGGAGGTGGCATGTTGGGGTTTGGCCAGTCATAAGAGGATGAGCCTGTAGGGTTGGGGACCTGGCAGGTACTTGGCCAGGCAGGCCTCAGTTCCTCACAGCTCAGTATTATAGGTCTAGGTGAACAGCCAGGAGATGGGTAGGTGGAAAAATATTGGAATTTATAACAAAATGTGTGACTAATAATATAGCCAGTTAGTAATAAATGTTGAGGACCGTTTATAGGTAGGAAGTAACAATAATAATGACGATAGTCTAAGGAGGAAGGGCATTGCTACTGGAAAAGGAAACACAGGAAAGGGGACTTTCATAATTTTATAAATTTTTTTATAACTAAAGAAAAGAAAATGTAAAGATAAATGATTTAAAGTAGCCTGGCAGGCGTGGCTCAGTGGTTGAGCATCGACCTGTGAACCAGGAGGTCACAGTTCAGTTCCTGGTCAGGGGCACATGCCTAGGTTACAGGTTTGACCCCCAGTAGGGGGTGTGCAAGAGGCAGCTGATAGATGATTCTCATCAATGTTTTTAACTATCTCTCTCTCTTTTTCTCTGTAAAAAATCAATAAAATATATTATAAAAAAAAGAATCTAGAGATTAATTTTGGGCTAATCTTTGTTGGGTAGGTATGAGTGAAGATTGTAAAGCAGTAAGACAGATACTGACTTGGCATTTAAATTTCACCCAGATTCCCAGGATTAAAACTTTACATACCGTATGAACCATAATTCTAGAGTTGACTATCAGTAAGTGCATCTGGATGTAATATTGAGGTGCCTCCTTAGATATGAATATCCAACTTACAGATGTCCTTTTTATGGAGAATCATACAAACTTAGTGTTAGAAGGAACCTTTCAGGTACCAAATTTAATCAGTCCATTTTACAGATTTAAAAAGTAAACCCTGGACACCTGCCACTTTCTCCCAGGTCACACAGCCAGCAGCTGAACTGAAATGCAAACCACAATTCCAGACCTTCTATTCTACTATTCCTTCTAGACTGCTATTCCATTCATTGTTACTCCTACCTTATGTGGCCATTCCAGGGGAATTACTCCAAACTTTGAGAGAGGGGTCGGGCACATCCCTCATTACTGCACTAGAAGAGGGAGAATGCTCTCAGTTGGAACCAAGACTAAGATTTCCATTATGAACAGTACTAAACAAGAATGCAGGGCAGTGACATGAATCAACAGCATTTGGCAGTATGTGTGGCAATCAGTTTGTAACATTGTTCAAAATAATCTCCCAATTTTAAACCAGCCTAATAGTTTTCACTTAAATGACCAACAAATAAAATTTTAAAGCTTACCAATTCATGGGCAACTGTACCATAATTGGAAATAAGGATATTTATATATATATATATATATATATATATATATATATATATATATATATTTTTTTTTTTTTTTTTTTTTTAATAATTGGTATTGAAATGCCCTGATGGCCTTTTATGTTATCAGCATTCAAAATGAATAACATGGCATTGCTGGACCATAGTTTTAGTGTTTGTTTTGTTTAAAATAGTGAAAGAAAAGTTATAGAAAGTATCGATAAATGACCAACATTCAACCTAAGCCCTTTTTTATAATGGTGTATCAGAGATTTTTTATGATGTCAGAAGTTGTCTTTTAAAATGGCCTTAATGCAATTAATTGAAAAATTAGTTTTATGTGAGGATGATATACCTTTTTAAATGTGTTGGGGAGAATAACAGAGCAATTATTTGTTGAAATTAGATCTTTGTCCTTAAATGTTAAAATGTGAACTCTTATAGGAAAGAATCCAACAGATGCATACCTTGATGCCATGATGAATGAGGCTCCAGGTCCCATAAATTTCACCATGTTCCTCACGATGTTTGGTGAGAAGTTAAATGGCACAGATCCCGAAGATGTCATCAGAAATGCTTTTGCTTGCTTTGATGAAGAAGCAACTGGTGGGTGCTCTTTGTTTATGTCCTTATTCCAGACTGTTTGAAACATTTTTTTAGAAAATGAAAAATATAGTTGCCCAGCCAGTATCACTCAGTGGTTGAGTGTTGACTTATGAAACCGGAGGTCAAGGTTTGATTCCTGGTCAGGGCATACGCATGGGTTGCAGGCTCAATCCCCCAGTGTGGGGTGTGCAGGAGGCAGCCCATCAGTGAGTCTCTCTCTCTCTTCCTCTTTGAAATTAATAAAAATACTTTTTTTAAAAAGAAGAAAAAAATTAGTAATATACACATTTTTAAAAATGAATAAAGGGAAACTATTATTTACAATGGTATAATGAGAATGGCTAGGACACAGATATATGTAGATCATAAAGCTACAGAATTTGTGGTGTTACTCTTTGAATTTGGATCTGAGCTTCCTGAAAGCCAAAGAGGATGTCTGTGAAATAGTAGTTCTTAAATAATAAAAGCAACTTCTTCAAGAGACTATAAATCACACCAGAAAGTATACTATCATGTGCCACCTAACAGCTGCTTTGATCAAGCACAGTAGTTGTGTTCACACAAGATTATAATGGAGCTGAAAAATTTCTAGTGATATCATAGCCATTATAACATCAGAGTACACCCATTACTTACCTGTTTGTGGTGAGGCTGGTATATACAAACCTCCTGCGCTGCCAGTTGTATAAAAGTATAGCACATACAATTATGTACAGTACAGAATACTGAGAATGACTGTTACTACCGTGTTTCCCCGAAAATAAGACATTCTCCGAAAATAAGACCTACTTACAGGTTTTCTTCTGAGTGAAATATAAGGCATCCCCCCGAAAATAAGGCCCCCCTAGGCTCTGTCTCAGAATGCTATTGCTAAACATGAGAGATTTGGTCCACTGATTCTGGAAGAAACGGAGTCACAAGAAATTCACCAGGAAATTCAGGAATTAGATTGTTATGATGATGTTCCAGAAGATGATAACATGATTGTCATTGAATAAATGAGTAAATTCTTGATACTGTAGGATTCACAGTTTGTCTGGTTTGTGTTGACAACTACCGTACTACCGTACCGTATACAGGTAATAAAGTTCCTTTATTTTCATTTAACAATAAGTGTGTACCGTATTCTTCTTCATGGAAAAATAAGACATCCCCTGAAAATAAGACCTAGCGCATCTTTGGGAGCAAAAATTAATATAAGGCACTGTCTTATTTTCGGGGAAACAGGGTAGTATCTGTACTATACTACTTTTAAATTTTTATTTATTAATTGATTATATATAGAGAGAAATATTGATTTATCCCACTTACTTATGCATTTATTGGTTAATTCTTGTATGTGTCCTGACTGGGGATTGAACCTTCAACCTTGTATCAGGATGATGCTCTAGCCAACTAATCTGGCCAGGACTATATTACACTTTTTATTGTTATTTTAGAGTGTACTACTTTTAAGAAAAAAGTTTTCTGTAAAGCAGTATGCTGTATGTTAGACCAGCAGCAGCCTCATACATCTCCTGTTTGTTGTATCCCTTCATTGCATCATTGCATCTTGTGCTTGATTTAATCTTATATTTGTACAGGCTTGTAGCCTGGAGCAACAGGCTATACCTATAGCTAGGTATATAGTAGGCTATAACATCTAGGTTTGTGTAAGTACACTTGATGTTTGTATAACCAATGAAATATCCTAATGCTGCATTTCTCAGAATGTATCCATTAAGCAGCACATGATTGTAGTTAACAAACTTGAGTTATTAAAATTTTAGGGTTTTTTTCCCCCCTTCTCATTTTGAAGTATGTAAAGCCTAACTATTCACTTTTCTTACTTCTCTCATTTTCATCTTTTCTTCTATATTAACCCTACATTTGAACTCAGTACCCACATCACCTCCTCAGATGTACCTTGCACCCTATTACTGCTTCCCCATTTCTGTCAACGATGTACCATCATTCATGCTTACACTCTGTTAACTAAACTTTTTAAATGATTTAATGTAATATTGTAAATAACTCAAAGTAAGAGGAAAACATAATAATATAGTTACATAATGTCTTAGTTCACTATTTTGTTTGTTTAAATATGTATGTTCTGAAGTATTTTGTAAGATTGACCTAGTGTAGAAACTAACCATTAAAGTTCCAGGAATTATTCATGATTCCCTTCCTTCTATGTCTTCCAGGCACCATTCAGGAAGATTACCTGAGAGAGCTGCTGACAACAATGGGAGATCGGTTTACAGACGAGGAAGTGGATGAGCTGTACAGAGAAGCGCCCATTGACAAAAAGGGAAATTTCAATTACATCGAGTTCACACGCATCCTTAAACATGGAGCAAAAGATAAAGATGACTGAAAGAACTTTAGCTAACACCTTCCAATTACTTTGTCTTACTCTGTTTTATTCCTCGACACTCTCCGCCATCCTCAGACCTGTTGCATGCAACTTTGTTCCACAGCTTGGCCTCTTTTTTTTTTCTGATGTATTTATTCCAGACTTTTCTGCCACTTAGCACTTGTATAATCAGACTGCAAATGGGGATAAGGATATAAATTGTGTTGAAAAAGAGTTTGCAAATAAAAATCAACCAATGTGAAAGCCCAGGAAAATATATTTGGTATTTCTAGTTTTGCTGGATTTTTACATTTTTATATAATAAAAATGCTATTTTGAAATAAAGATTATGCTGACTCAAATGAAGTGTAATGAAAAGTTAAGTGATAGGTGGGAGTAGTCCTATTTTCATATTTTCAACTTTATGTATTTTAGATTTCATGGTTAACTGATTTTCTCATGTATATGGGACAGTGTTTTTTAGAACTTTTAAGGATAGCCCTGCCAGTGGCTCAGCGGTCAGATTAACATCACAATGCAATAAAAACTATTAGTTAGCCTTTTTTTTCTTCTTTTTTTACACTTCCAAGAAGTCAGATGTTTAAACTACTAAATTATAAATATAGAATGTATCTGAGAAAACACTCAACATTTCGTTGATCTAAGAGTCTAAAAAGATGAGGCGAAAAACTGGAAAAAAAAATCCTTTTATTGTGTGTGAAGTATTGCACACGGACGATTTTAATTGAATCTTGCCAACAACCTTGTGAGATTGATTTCTAGCCTCATACTCATGGTGAGGGAACTGAGCTCCGAGTAGTTGAGTGAGTGATCAGAGTCACTGTTAGGAAGTGTGACCTGGGATGCCTAACCCCATAGCATAGAGTACGGTTTCTATGAAAAGCCCCAAATGCCTGAAAGATCAAGATATTTCCATTACTTTCTAACAAAATGGTGCAATTTATTGAAATTTAAAATTATCTGCTTTGGAAATTGATTATGTGAACAATTTCAGAATTCTATCCAGGTAAAAAACAGAAAAGATTATAATGAATTCAATATTTGAAGGTAAACCATGTGACTGACAAACATAGATAAGGCCGCTATGAGTTTGTTTAAAATCCTCAAGGTGCCAAGCAATATTACAAATAGGGAGAAACCTAACAAAAGTGGGGAGTGGTGGTTTAAAGTTTCCAATGTAGTTTTCACATCTATTCCCTCACTTAAAAGTGTTCTTTTGGTATAATGTCTGCTTAAAATTACATATTGTTTAATGTTTGTGCATTAGGCAAATCTTGGTCACTTGCTGCTGTCACTCAGTTTTTTTCTGGGCTTCCTTTTCATTTTTAAAATGAGAGCAGTTACACTCTTGTGGTTATAGTGTTTCACAGTTCATAAGAGCTTTCATATTTGTTATCTAACACTCACAGCCTAAAAGGTTAATAGGGGAGGTGGTATTCCTGATTCTTTTATGAGGGCTGAAGGTTAGAGAAATTGAAGCATCTGTTTACTCCAACTATAAGAATCCACATCTGGTTTTGGCCAGGCAGGTAGCCCAGTTGGTTGGATGTCATTCCATATACCAATAAGGTCACAGGTTCAATCTCTGGTCAGGGCATTGCAGGAATCAACCAATGAATGTATAGATGGGTGAAACAACTCTCCCCCTTCCTCTCAAATTTTTTTTTAAATCCACATATGGCTGCCTTTTCTACTCACCATGCAGTGTCAAAACCAGTGATTACTGTTTAAGGAAAGGGAGAAATAGATGGGGATAATATTGATCTTGAATAAATCCATCACCTGTTTTGTGCCAGAAACTGTTTTAAGTGTTGGTGATAAACAACTGAGGAGTGAGGGAGGGGAGGGGAGGGAGAACAAACAAGGATGCTGCACCCCCTGGGGCTCACATTCTCTAGTGAGAGACAGGCTCCTATTGAATCATATTGAAGTACTATGGGACATGGCCTCAGGTGAGATGGGTCCTTTCAAGGCACATGTGCCAGGAGCATTATGACATAAGAGGAAAATACAGGAATGGTATTTGCTGTGTAGTCTAAGTGGGAAATCAGGGTTTTGGGCAGGGAAGAAGCATGAAAACCCAACCTTGCTGCTTTGTATTGGAATGGAGGGGCAAGAGCAGATAAAAGTGAGAAGGCTCCCTATTAGGAAGCTTGCCCGAGCCCAAGCCGCCCTCATATCTTGCCTGGCACCATCTATAGTTATTATAACAATATTAACTATATCCCTATGGTGCTATACTCTATATCCCCGGGGTTATTTTGTAACTTCTTAATCCCTTCACCGATTGAATACTTTATGCTAACATATCCTATTTGTTTCATCTATAGCATCTATAGAGAGTTACGGAATTCAGTATTCTAAGGCACTTAGGCTGGGACCTTGTTCCTGCCTAAGTGTCCAATAAATATTGATGACAATGAAAACCCTCTATTTAATATTTTTGTTGAGAATCACATAGTGACGATCTCCTAAGTTGACAATTGATCCCTTGGCCATTGAAGTGGGAATGTGGTGTGTGTGTGTGTGTGTGTGTGTGTGTGTGTGCGCGCGCGTGCACGCGTGCGTGTGAATGTTTACTGTGTGCTAATAAGCATGTTACACTACTGCCCGTTGAGGTATTACATTATCCCTGTTCTACATATGAGGAACTGAGGAGTAGAAATATAACTATCCAAGGTTACCTAACTAGTAAGCAGCGGGGCCATAATTTGGATTCTGGCAGTCTAACTCTAGCACCTGCCCTCCCAGTAAAAAAATTATTAGAAATAACACCCCTAATTTCTTACCTCCACAGAGTAGTTTTAAAAGCATTTGCTATTGCATTTGTTCCTCAAAATTCTAGTAGGTTGATAAGTTAGTCATTGTTATTCCATTATACAGGTGGCAATACTGAGTTACAGAAGTTATTTGCTCAAATTTATATACCTAGACACTGTCTTATCCCGGACTTTTTTGAGCGAGATACAGTGCTTCACATTAAACCTATAATTAATTAATAATTATTGATACCTACAGCCTGACTAAAATTCTGTTTGACTTTAAATTTATGTATGCTATATGTGTTATATAGATGAAAACCATTGATATTTTCAACAATGAAATTATACTTTATTATATATTTAATGAATCACCTTTCCTGATAAATTAACTGCACAAGATTAATTTTTAAAATTCAATATGTATATGAATAAATACTTGAATAATAAAATTTCTTTATTGTAAATTTGGTTTTTTGTTTTAATTTTAATGTTTTTGAAAACATGTCTTACAGTCAATTTTTATATTAATATTTTTATCCTAAAAAGCAATTGTAATGTACCTTAAAATTGATAGATCTTAAGGAAACAGTCTTTGAGATATAAACATACAAACTACTGAAAAATCTGGAGTAAATAGGTCATCTGGGAAGTATGAATGAGCTTGTGAAAGTTTGCCACATAGTAAAATTTTGAGAAAAAATTTCTTGGGAAGAAAAATTATATGAGGATCACAGGTTGCACATGTCACACTCAAACAAGTGAACCTTTTTAATAACATGTCATATGCAATTTTAGAGACAATAACTTGAAGTGTCACTAGATGGCACTATTATCTTGGTTCTGTAATAACCTAGTCCTTAACATGTTAAGCGCCAAGCCTGTTTTGTCTTCCTTTCCTTTCAGTCACCGGTAATTGACATGGCACTTAACATGTTAAAATAAACTTTAGGGGGATAAAGCATGAATAGGAATATGCAGAGAGCACTAGTCCCAATAATGCTGTAACTTTGTCATTGATAACAAAGTCTATTGCAGCGGCATTCATACTATTTCCTGAACCCTAAAATGCAAGAAGCAATCCTTTTTACAATGTGTATTCATTCCTTCATTCACTTACAAATATTTATTGTCTGCAAAGTACTGTGATCTCAGTGATGATGCTCTGGTTATTTTCACACAGAAGTAAGGACTTTTGTTGAAAATGGCTTTGTTCCCGTAAGACCTGAGTCTGCCACTTACCGAGTGTGTCATCATGTGCAAGTCACTCTTACTATCATCACTTCTATTTCAGAGATGAGAAGACTATAGCACAGAACCAATGAATTTACATGAAATGTTTTATAAATCATTCTATCTATATGAATATTAATACTCCTTCAAGAATGTTGAGAACTATTCCTGCCTCTACCTACTCTTAGAAACACTATCAGAATAAAAAATGAAGTAGACAGGTCTGAAGTGTTTTAGCAGAAGGATACTTGAAGCATGCCATGGGGTGTGTATGAATGGGTGTGTTTAAATATTTTAAAAAATGTTTCAACCTATCTTGCAGGAAGCCAACCTAATCTTTTACGAGTCCCACTTCCACGGCAGTTGATTTTGCTCCCAGCACACAATACTGCCTTTCAGAGTCTCATTCTGAATAAACATGATGCCATTGCATATTTCCTCACGGACATTGCTGACTAGCTCAGCAGAAATACAACTTTATTCACATTTTGTAAGAATCTGAGTATAAATTGACAATGGCTTATTTTAAGAGGCTGTGCTCATTGTACTTTTCTCTAGTAATCTTTTGATGTGTGATCTCTTTATTCAGTTCTCACTCTTTGAGGTGAATGATGTGTTCTAGGATTGTGGGAGATACGAAGATTCTGATCCTACTAGGTGTTATGCTAAGTGTTATGGATGCACATAATAAAGGTTAGTTCTCTCTCTCTCTACCGTTACTCTCTGGCTGGAGCGATGGCTGATGTCTTAACAGTTTAGTGAGGAGGATAAGATGTATTTTTTTTTTTTTTTTTAAAGATGCTTCTCTGACAATGATGCGTTTTCTCAGCATCACTGTAATTGCCTTCATAACAGCCAATTATATAGTTAAGAATTCAAGCAAACACATGAAAACAACCTTGACTTTAAAATTTTATATTGAAAATTCTCAAGATTTTCTGCTTATTTTAGAGACAGTTGAAGAAATTCGGGGTATTATTTATGTTATGTCCCTACCAGATTATAAATAGTTGAAAGGAGGGAGCACCTGCTGAAAGGCATGTTGACAGAGGAACCCCCACTTCTTGGTTAGAAGACTGAGGCCCCCCAGTCTCTCAAGCCTCGCTTGAGGTGTTTTGCCAGTTGTGGCAGAACTAGTCTCCTCCTCCTGGCTTTCTACCGCCACGGCCTCCTCCTCACCCGTCTGTGAGGCAGTAGGATTGGCTCTCTCTACCCAACTCAAGACCTTTTCCCTTTGTTTTTAAATTGTTCTTGAGTTCACTACTCTTCCTCTCCCCTTTCCCCCCACACAGTGTTTTTACAACTGGGGGCCCAAACTTTGAATGTAAATACAGAGACAAGAATCTTTAAACAGAGAAGCCAATAGGGAACAATTCTTACACTCATGCAAATAAACAGAGCAATCTCAGAAGACAATCTAATGGCAAGTTTTAACCAGTGATTTCGAGAAACTTCCCAAGCAAAATGATTTATGTCTCAGTCTCTCTTCCTACCCTCATTTTAGGTCATAGTTCCCAGCTCTTAGAGAGGGGAAGCTAGGAGGGGGTGTACAGCACACTCCTTGCACCCTATCACATTCCCATAACTCCCCCCCCCCCCCCCGACTTTGTGAGTCTGGCTATTTCTTTCCCTGTTAAAAAGACAAAAAGGGTCTATGGCCCCGACCTTTTCATAAAACATCCACCCACACTAGAGCACGACCCTCCTCCCTTTACCTAACAGGCTTGCCATTCCAACGTGCAGTCCAGGAAGAGTTGTTGGCTGTTTGAACTGAAGCAAATTCATCGCGTACTCCTCTGGGAAGGGGTAAAGGCAAACCCATTGTCAGTCCAAGATGGTCACAGGGAAAGAGCTGAAAATCCAGGCTGGCCCCTCCAGCCGGCAGGACTGGCAGAGAGCCGAGTGAATAAAGGAAAATGCAAGGTAAATGGAGGCAATCAAATTACTACCAAGATGAAATAGACAAGGTTGTCTTCAAAAGATGAAAAATAAGCACTTCTCCACAATCACGGGGATTGAACACCTTAGTCTTCTTGCTTATCTTTTTGTGTGTGTTTATCCCTTTATATGCATGTGGTTTTTGTTGTGATTTTTTTTTTCTTTTTTACCGCCTGTGTTCCAGATGTCTGTCACCATCCTGACTTTGCTACTTTCCTCGAATATTTCAAAACAGACCTCAATTTTCAAACTCTCTTGTGACACTTTTTTTTAGTTTATTTGAAAAGATGTGTTTGATTTAGAAAATATAAAAATGTTGCCCTACTTTTTTTTGCATCTGGGCTAAATTGGAAGTGGGCAGCAAAATGCATTACCTCCCAATTGGAGGAAGAGATGTTTATCAAGAGACTGAGGGTAAGGGCCAGGGCCAAGTGCATTGCCCCAGACTTTGTGCTTCATTGTATCATGAAGGCCAGAATGACAGAAGGATATGGAAATCTGAAGCTTCTGTTTAAAATAGAGTCCAGTCCTAGCCAGTATGGCTCAGTTGGTTAGAGTGTCATCCTATACACCAAAAGGTTGCGGGTTTGATTCCTGGTCAGGGCACATACCTGAGTTGTTGGCTCGATATCCTATGGGGCATCTACAGAAGGCAACCAACTGAAGTTCTCTCTCTCATCAATATTTCTCTCTCTCTCTCTCTCCCTCCCTCTCTCTCCCCCCCTCTCCCTTCCTAAAATTAATTTTAAAAAAACATAACAATAAATAAATAAAACAAATAATTAATTTAATAAAATCCACACTATATTAAGAAATCCACTTGTATATAATGTGTTCTACACATGTGAGAACACACATGTATTCATTCATACAGACATACATTCCTCAAATATCCCTGGAAAGAAGCTCATTACGGCTGAGATGAAAATCTGGTAGCCAAAAGTGTGAGGGAGATTCAATTTCACCGTAAACACTTTTTTTAAAAAAAATTTTTCAAACTTTTGTTTGCACTTCTTATTAAAAATTAAAACATTTCGCCAAAACGGGTTTGGCTCAGTGGATGGAGCGTCGGCTTGGGGACTGAAAGGTCCCGGGTTCGATTCTGGTCAAGGGCATGTACCTTGGTTGCGGGCATATCCCCAGTGGGGAGTGTGCAAGAGGCAGCTGATCGATTACTCTCTCTCATCAATGTTTCTAACATTCTATCTCTCTCCCTTCCATTCTGTACAAAATCAATAAAATATATATATTTTTTAAAAAAAGATCTTGAATAGTGTTTAAAAAAAAAATTAAAACATTTGGTAATCATAGCAAAAGAATATATCCCACAAGACTGAGCAAATCTAAAAGGATTTCCCCCAAAACATGTATCCCTTTGCACAGGAAAAAGAAAATCCCACTTGTCACCTCAGTTTGAAGGGGGATTAACGTGGCATGTCTATACACTGTGGTGGGCTGTTTCTCTGTTTTCCGTGTCCATCACGGAAAATGACCGGTTCCTGAGTGGAGGAGTTGGGGATTAAGAAATTAGAGAAAGAAGAAAGTGACATGGAGGCAGAAATAGATTCATCAAGCTGGGTGCTAGGTGGGCACCATCTCTCTAATGGAGAGGCAGTAAGGCGACCCCCCCAAGCCACACAGGTTTATTTAAAGGAGCTTATTTGCATACTTAAGTAGGCCCTAGCATTATTGGATTTACTAATATCTAGACCCGCCCCTGCTGACACCTGGACAAAGGTACTTTGCCAGTGCCTAGGGCTCAGCTAACAATTTAAAGGATGTCCATGTGCCTTCTCAGGCAGCCCTCTACAATACACCATGGTTCTTCTGCATAGATCTGTAAGTGCTGAAGATATGTATGTAAGATATGCATGTATCTTCCCATTTTGTAAGCAAATGGCTCTTCAATACCATGGGCTTGGCAGCTCCTGGTAACAGTGCTATGAGGACTTTGGTGTTTGTGTTGGTTGGGCCTGGATGACCTTCCTGCCCCTGTTGCTGGGAGGCCATGTTCTCGGAAGGACCTGAATTAAGGCAAGAGAAGTGGGGATCGAGAAATGAATGAATTAGAACATACTGAAGGAGCAGATTATAGAACCCTTACCTCCCTCTCCTGAAGCAGCAGGGGCAGATGGAACATCCAGATACATAAAACCCTTTGGTTATGCCACCCTTAATGGGCAACCCATCTAGATTCCTGAGACATGAATGCAAGCTTTTCTCTAATTGACAGTGATTGCTTAATATCATCTATACTAGGGGTGTCGAACTCAATTAGAGAAGGGGCCAAAATCTAAAATCCAGCCTAAATCGTGGGCCGAATGGTTTACTGAACAGTCATAAACTGTCATTGTGATGGAAACGCAGCGGAGTGCAGTGATGACAGCGCGGTGCGGGCCACATTGCAAGGCCTGGCAGGACGGATTTGGCCCGCGGGCCTTGTGTTTGACACATGTCATCTATATTAATAAAAGAGTAAGATGCAAATTGATTGTACCTTCATGATGTCCACCAGCCAATCAGAAGTGAGTATACAAATTGACCCAAATAAGATGGTGGGTTAATTTGCATATGCAGGTGTTCTGCATCACCCCAGCTGCTCTGGGCCTCTGGGCAGCGTGGGAAGGAGGAAAGTTGGCTCCAGCCAGAGTGAATGCGGTGCCAGTAGTCAGGGGAAGGAAGGCCTGCTCTTGTACAAATCTTCATGCACCAGGCCTCTAGTTACATAATAATATCCAATCAGAATTCAAATTTCCTTTATCATCTCAAGACAAAACCTTTTACAGTTGGGTTGCAAATCAGGATCCAAACAAGTCCCTACATTGTATCTTGTCAATAGATCTCTTACTCTTTTTAAATCTACAGTATATGTTTTCTTCTTGCAATTTATTTGTTGACATTATTGAGTATCTTATCCAGTAGAGTACTAATCAATTGGATTTTGATGATTGTATTCCATGATGTCTTTACCATGTTTCTCTTTCCTCTCTCAACTGGTGGTTAGTTCTTCTGGATTAAGTATAAGTGACTTGTGTGTTAAGCATCCCTCTCTTGTGTAATCTTAATGTTCCTTCCAAAATGTATACATAAGTACAGTGGTGCCTCACATAAAGAACGCCTCGCACAGCGAACGCTGCACACAACGAACTTCATTTCATGATTCATACAACGAACTTCGTTTCACACAATGAAGTCGCCGAGCTTCCACGACCGCTTTGCCCGAGCTTCCACGACTGCTTCGCCCGAGCTTCCACCAAACACCACATCCATTCTTCAGCCAATGGATCAGCAAGTTATTGCGAACTTTAAAAAACTCTACACTAGAGCCCTCTTTAATAAGGTGTTTGAAGAATGCGAGTTTGGTGGAGACAATATGACTGTCCGAAAGTTTTGGAAGGAGAAATTTGATGTCCTTATGGCAATACGACTTATACAGAAGGCCTGGGAAGAAGTGTCACAAAGGACCCTCATTTCTGCTTGGAAGATGCTTGTGCCTTCGTGGACCCAGGAAGAAGCAGTAGTTGATGACACAGAAGTGGTGAAGGACATCATCACAGTGGCCCAAAGGTTGGAATTAGAGGTAGAGGAAGAGGATGTAGAGGAACTTATTGAGGAACACGAAGAAGAGCTGACAACTGAAGAGCTCCAAGCACTTCTGGTCCAGCAACAGGACAATGCTCAAAGGGAAGCGTCATCTGATAACCAGGAGCAACAATCAAACAATCAACCAATCCCAACTGCTGACATCAAGAACATCCTGGTCAAATGGAAAGCCGTTCAGGAGTTTACCAATGCCCACTATCCGGATTCAGCTGAAGCAAACAGGATCAACGATCTTTACTCCGATACTCTTGTCCGTTATTTCCGGCAGATGTTGGAGAAAAGAGAAAAACAAACGACTTTGGACAGGTTTTTCATGAAACCATCGGCCAAAAAGCAGAAAATGGATGAAGATGTGCAAGATTCGGTAGACTCTACTTAGTCTGTCTTAAAATTTTAAAAATGTGTGTGTGTTTTTTTTTAATTATGTTTTTAGATGTATCTAAATAAAAATAATAACAAAAAATTTATCTTTTTTTATGTCATCTTAGCATATTTTATGCTACAGAACGAATTATTTTTTTTAACATGTATTGTTATGGGAAAACGCGTTTCACATAACGAACTTTTCGCATAACAAACTTGCTCCTGGAACGAATTAAGTTCGTTGTGTGAGGCACCACTGTAGTTTGAAAGTTTCCACCAGTACTTTTATAGCACTCCCAATTCCTTCATATTCTCTCCAATTTAAACTTTATGCCAAATTCATATGAACTCATTTTTTAAAAAGTACTTTTTAGGGGAAAGAGGGAATATATTTAGAGGCTGTGAAGGAAAAGGACATGCCAATATGACGTGAAAGAAGGCTAGATTGGGCAGAAGACAAAAATAGAAGCAATTATAAAATTTACTTGGGTAGAAAGAAGAGCCGTTGGACAGGGAATGAGGCAAGGTGAGGACTGCCTGACAGAAGAGGTAGGGTGGGGGGAGGGCGGTGAGTGTGGAAAACAGTTGCACCCAGGGATCCTCAAAAGCCAGTCCAGATCCCAGGGGCACATGAAGGGCTTGTGAGAAATAGTTTCCTGTCCTGACCTATCAAATCAGGATCTCTGGAGAAAGTGCCCTGGAACACGCTTGACAGCCATCCCCTGGATGTCCCGTGGGTTTAGAAACCACTGAACTGCTTGTGGTGCCTTACATTCCCACAGTTTCTACGTGTACAATGCACTTTCATTCTTGGTGTGCACTTGGTGGTCTACCTATGTGTGATTTCCTTTCATGGCTGAGACATTAATGCACAGTGGCTAAGCACTCCAACAAACGTAACCTCTGGGGAGGAGAGTGGGGTTTACACTTTTATACGTGACACCATTTTTATACCAATTACGCCCATAGAGTCGCCAGGCTCAGAAAGAATTGGATCTTGGACAAGAAAAATGAAAACAAAATTTGTAAATTATTTACAAGTTTCAGTACTCTGTTTTCAGTCATAAAACTAGACTTCACCCAGGGGGAAAAAAAAAAAAAAAGACATGGAAACATTTGCACACACTGGCGAGAGCTTGCTTGGCTACCATGATCCGTGGGCCCTTGACCTTTCTGAGTCCTTGGCCTGGGTGTCTCTCACAGCCCTAATTTGCACCAAACTGCTGGCTTGATTGTGAATATTATCTTTATATGGGCTTCGGTCACCCAGAGGGCAAACGGGTTTTCAAAAATTTGAAGGAGCCTCCTTGTTAAAATGTTTACATTATTTCCTCTTTACAGCTGCATAGGCCAACTGCACACATTGCTTCCTACTCGGCAGATTAAATTCCAGCCCCTCTCTCCTTGGCTTAAGCACTCATCACTTCCTTCTGATCCCGCCTGTTATTTCTTTTCTTTTGTCATATCTGGCTCTGACCCAGCAAGTTCAGCCTGCTTCTGAGAGTGTGTTTATTGGCCTTCCTAAGCACTTTGAGAAACCCTGTAGTGATTCTAGAGCAAGGGAACATTTAGATTACAGGAGGAATTGAATTGATGTTGATTTTTTTCCTTACAGCTATTCTTTGGTTAGTATGTCCAATAACACCAATACATTTTAAAACAAAATAAGTTTTACAGATGTTCTAAAAAGTGCTCTTTCCCCCTTGCGACTAAATGACATTTTGTTAAAAATGGAATGCCAGCTTTATTCAATATTCTAAGCCAATAAAATGGAGGGAGGTCACTGGTGCTGCCTGCAAACCTTCCCATCTTCCCACCTCCTTATACATTTGAGAGTCATATAGTGCCTTCCATTGCCAATTTGAAATGCTTCCTGAATTGTCCACTCCCTACTCCTCTGCTCATGGGGTAAAATGTTGAGAGTAAAGGGAAGGACTCAAATCAGACTTAGGTTTGATTCTCAGAAGTTATTAGTTGTGTTGGTTTGGATAAACTTATAAACCTTTTTAAGCCTCATTTTTTAAAAATATATATATTTTATTAATTTTTTGCAGAGAGGAAGAGAGAGGGATAGAGAGTTAGAAACATTGATGAGAGAGAAGCATTGATCAGCTGCCTCTTGCACACCCCCTACTAGGGATGTGCCCGCAACCAAGGTACATGCCCTTGACCAGAATCGAACCTGGGACCTTTCAGTCCGCAGGCTGGCGCTCTATCCACTGAATCAAACTGGTTTTGTCTTTAAGCCTCATTTTTATCTTCTGTAAAATGGAGATAATGTTAGTGTCCACTTTCAGAAGCATGTTGTGAGCATTGATTACTATAATCCATGGTAAGTACATAGTGTCTGGCTCATCATAAGTACTCAAGACACTTTGGTCATTAATATTTCTCCAAGTTTTGTTGATAAATATTCTGCCTTTTAGCACAGTATAATTATGAATTATAAAGTTATTTTTTGCTGTCAAGAATATTAATTCTGAGATAAGAAAAAACTAAAAACATAATTAATAAACTGAATTAAAATTTTTCTTGACTTTGATACTATTTAATCCTATGTGTTCCTTATTTATGCCTCCTACAGTCTTTGGAGTACATGGACTGGAACTGTAAATTGACCTTGAAATGATTGTTGTGAGCCAAAACACAGACTAAGTCATATTACCCTGATAAAAGAATGGTCACATATTATCATTACAAAGTAATTTCAGAAGATCTGTTCATTTTAACCTTCTACTTAAAAATAAAATGCCACAAAGGCAAGTATTTGTTTGATATAAAACATCAAACTCTCCCTTTTTATATGTCCCAAGTCATTCAGTGAGGAAATGGTCTCTGACTTTGTTTTAAAGTAATAAAATGCACAAGACTAAAAAAGTGTATAATAAACAGGGATATAAAAGAAAAAGAGCAAGTTTCCCTACTTGAATCTCCTCTCCACTTCCCAGAGAGAACCAAAACTGACCATTATTTGTTTATCTTTCCAAAAGTTGTGTCATGTATATGCATAAGTATATATTCTGGAAGCTCTGTAATTCAGCTTGGCTCCTGTGTTCTGCCAAATTCTGCTATTTGATTTCATCTTGGACCTGTGAAAGATTGCATAGTCAGCTGCCAATTTATCATCAAACCTGGCAGTCTCAAGTCTCTTGCACGATTAATTGTCATCTAGGTCAGGGGGCTCTGCAATTTACCAACTTCAGGCCAAATCTGTTTTTTATAAATAAAGTTTTATTGCAACCCACCACATCCATTTGTTTAGAGAATTGTCTATGACTACTTTCACACTGTGTGGCAGAGCTGAGTAGTTCAGATACTGGCCTGCAAAGCTTTCCTATCTGGCCTTGTATAGAAAAGGTTTGTTCATCTGATAAGGGGTTAATATCCAAAATGTATAAAGAACTTATACACCTCAACCCTCCAAAAACGAACAATCCAATTGAAAAAATGGACAAAAGATCTGAACAACACTTCTCCAAGAGGACATACAGATGGCAATAGACATATGAAAAGATGCTCAATATCACTAATCATTGGAGAAATGCAAATTAAAACCACAACTAGATATCACCTCACACCTGTCAGAATGGCTACCATCAATAAATCAACAAACAAGTGTTGGCAAGTATATGAGAAAAGGGAACCCTTGTGCACTATTGATAGGAATGCAAATTGGTGCAGCCAGTATGGAAAACATTACAGATATTCTTCAAAAAATTAAAAACGGAACTGCCTTATGACCCAATGATTCCACTTCTGAGTATATGTTCAAAGAAACCCAAACACTAATCCAAACAGATATATGCACCCCTGTGTTCACTGCAGCATTATTTACAATAGCCAAGCTATGGAAGCAACCAAGTGCCATCAATAGACAAGTGGATAAAAAAGAGTGGGTACATATATGCAATAGAATATTGGTCATTGAATGAGGACAAGTTGAAGGAACATCTATTAGTTAGAAGTGAACTTGAATTTAGGGGAGAAAACTCAAAGTAGCAGCGGCTTAATCAGAAAGAATTTTGTTTCTCTCTCACTCAGAAGTCTGCACCAGCCATCACAGTTAATATGATCCTCTAGTGTTTTAAGTTCAAGTTTACCCTGTGGCCCCAGGTGGTCACTCTAAATCCAACCATCACCTCTACTTTATAGGCAGGAAGAAAGAGAGAAGAGGAAAGGGGAATGCCCACTCTATTCAAGCACTTTCCCACAATTGTACACATAACTTCATCTTATAGCTCATTGCCCAGAATGTAAAACCTATGTTGTTGTACCTAGCTACAAAGGTGGCTTGGAAATGTGTGTTGGGTTTTTTGGTGGCTTTGTGTGCAGTAAAAATATATATTCTAAGGAAGAGGGGAAATGCAGACCATGAGTATAGTATGTCTGCAGGATGAGGGGCTAGTGAGAGGAAAGGAGGAGCTTCACCCAGGGCTGTGGGCTCTCATGGTTGCTCTTTTGCTATCCTTGGGTTAAAACTCCTGTACCAAAATTCACTACACTTATTGGTAGAGTATATTTACTCTCAGATAATGACGTTCTCCAGTTAAGAGTAGAACCATGATGCCTTTGTTTCCAGCCAAGGAGAAATACAGGCATTTATTTCCTCCTCTTCACCTCTGTTTCACCTGCCAGTGCCTCTCCCTGGCAACCATGCCACCACGCCCCGCCGCGATGGAGGAACAAAAAAGATAAACGAAGTGTGTGGGTTTTGATAATCTGCAGTCAGGAGTATGTTTTCTTTCTTGTTAACGTCCTTTAATTTTAGAGGAGATTCTATGATCTAGCTTCACAAGTCTCTCATCTTATCCCCAAGTCTTCTTCAAATATCCCTAGATGGAGACAAATAGATAACTGCAGCTTGAGTGGATATATTTGTCAGAATAAGAAAACCCATCTTGCCCACGTGGCTCAGGGATTAAGCATCACAACCAGTTCTATCCCCGGTGTGGAACGTGCAGGAGGCAGCCAATCAATGATTCTCTCTCATCATTGATGTTTCTGTCCCTCTCTCCGTTCCTCCCTGAAATCATTACAAATATATTATAAAAATGAAAATATCTTTAATGGCTCCCATGTCTCCCTAATGGAAGCTCTGATGGGTAATGAATGACTCTTACCTGTCCAAAGATATACAGTTATATTTTTATTAGGAAACTAATTACCACATTATTTATAAAATTAAAAATTTACCAAGAAGTACTAATACCTCCTCCCCTGTGCCATCAGCTATTTTCCAGCTCCTAACTCTGTTGGTTATGGTAACCCAAAAGTATTTCTATTAAATAAATGAAGGCATTTTATGACACTTTAAAATATACCTCCAGGCAAGCTTCAAAAACTCTTACTGATGTATGTTATTGCACGATACTCGTCTTTTGTATTTTCCTCCTTAGTTGGCTGTCTCCTAAAACATCAGCCTGGCCTGAAGTGATAATCTCACTCATTTGAAAGGCCTGATTAGAGTGAATAAAAATAAGTATAACAGTTATTACTAACATATATTGAGCCCTAAACAATAGTACCCTTACTTAAGCACAACTTTTGCTACACAGGTGGCTGGCACCGAGAGGAAACCCCTGCAGACAGGGTAAGGGCATGCCAGAGTTTTTTGGTTTCTCATCAGCATAACAAAACAATGTTGAACAAAACGTTATTCAAGGATTTCCTGTACATATCAATTTTCATTATATATTTTTAAAGATATATTGATATTTTATTGATTTTTTTACAGAGAGGAAGAGGGATAGAGAGTTAGAAACATCGATGAGAGAGAATCATCGATCAGCTGCCTCCTGCACACCCATCCACGGTACATGCTCTTGACCGAAATCGAACCTGGGATCTTTCAGTCCGCAGGCCGACGCTCTATCCACTGAGCCAAACCGGTTTCGGCTCAATTTTCATTTTTGCTTCAACGTTTTGAATTTATACTGATGTCTGATTTTATCATTTCACACAAGATCTTTGCTACTCACTGCAATACTATGGGAAGTTTACATTCAACTGTTTTCTGAGCTTTTCCATTAATGTCTTAGTTCTCTGACCCTTAGTGGCTGGGTAGGCATAATTGTCTTTGTCAT